TTTTTTACGACAAATATGGTCATGAAATTTCAGGTGAAAAAAAACGTGGTATTCAGAAAACGATCCCAATGTTCGATGACCGTTTAGCATTCCTCGCCGAAATATTTACAAGTTAATATCACAGTTTGACGTAAGTACATCCGTTATCGGACAAAACAACTTAAGTCCATTCGTTTTCGGACATAAGAACTTAAGTCCAGTCGTTTTCTGACAAAAGAGCACAAGTCCACACCAGTTTTCTGGTCCTAACGACTCAAGCCCATGTGGACTTAGGTGGTTTTGTCAAAAGGGGGGCTTGAGTTGTTATGTCCGAAACGTCACGCTGGACTTGGGTTCTTTTGTCAGAAAACATGTGGACTTACGTGCTTTTGTCAGAAAACGGATGGACTTGAGCTGTTTTGTCAGGAAACGAGTGGACTTGAGTTGTTTTGTCAGAAAACGAAAGGACTTAAGTCGTTTGGTTCAACGCTATATCTTCCGAACTAATTATCTTAGAATCGTGGGTCTTTCACCATTCTATGTGAAGTCTCGCCAGCAATCTGAGAAAACGAAAAAAACGTTTTGACCAAAATGTGGACTTAAGTCCCTTTGTCCGAAAACCAGTGATTTGTATCGCATCTCTTTTATGGTCCAAATACTCTAAAATTTGTTACAATGTTGTTTATCAGGTCTTCGTGGATATCGCAATCAAGTACCCTGCAGGAACCTCGGGCTGCCGTCCCACCATGTTAAAGTGGGAGGGCTACGCCTACAAGTGCGGCAGTGAAGAACACGGGACAAAGCACTGCACGCCGTGGCTGCGCAACCAAGCCCACTTTATCGCGCGCACCCACGGCCCGCTGCCATCGGACTCCTGCTCCCGGAGGGACTTCTCTCCGAGGATGCTGGCACGCTACTATGAAACCTTGGACGCTGAAGGCGGAGACATGGCTAAGTTTGTAAAGGATTGCGAGGACTCGGAGGAGAATAAGCGCAAAGATTCTGAGGTCAACGGGCCCAACCGGCCCCACGGGCCTATTGAGCCTAACGGGCCCAGTGGGTCAAACGGGCTCAGCGGGCCAAACGGGCCCAGCGGGCCCAGCGGGCCAAACGGGCCCAGCGGGCCCAGCGGGCCAAACGGGCCCAGCGGGCCAAACGGGCCCAGCTGGCCTCACTGGCCCACCTGGCCCAAAATGCCCACTGGTCCCAGTGGGCCCAGCTTCCCTCCAAAAAGCGGATTCACGTCGGAAGGGGGCGCTGCAGCCCGCCCCCCCGGATACCAAGGTAAGAATTACGCCCCTCTCTTGAAAACACGATTTGTAGTAGCACGGTGAAAGTGCCGCCTAATAAATCAAGGGAGTGCCATGGTTTGATTTTCAAGGGGGTGGATTTTCAATTTCAATGGATTTTCAATGGATTTTCAATGGGTGGATTTTCAAAACTGTCCAAATCGACTTTGCTCTACAGAAATCGACACCCCTACGGAAGACTGGGCTACCTTCGCGCGGCCGGGGAAGACTGGGCCAGCTTCGCGCGGCCGGGAAAGACTGAGCTAGCTTTGCGTGGCCGGGGAAGACTGGGCCAACTCTCGACGCCCGGGGAGGACTGGACTATCTTTGAGCGGCCGAGGAAGACTGGGCTACCTTTGCGCCGCCGGGGAGGACTGGGCTAACTCTCCGCGCCCGGGGACGACTGGGCTAACTTCGCGTGGCCGGGGAAGACTGGGCCAACTGCAAAAGCGGCGTTCTGAGATAAGCTCGTTTGAAACTTATACGCTCTCTCACAATTCAGGGCGCTACACTTTGCTCAATATTTTGTGATATTCTGATAGTGTGGCACCTCCCGAGTAGATCAGTGTTAATTGCATCTCACTGGGAGCTCCTAAACGGTTTTTAAGCAAGAGTTATGACAAATTACAACTGGCTGTTTTTTTTCTTTTGCAACTAAAGACTTTTAAAGACAACCACGATAATGTAGGACAGTTACAAACACTGAATATTGTAATACCCTTTCTCTTGGTGGGAGAAAGAGGCTCTCCTGCCTGCAGAACTGTGTCAATTCATGATGGACGCCTCAAGAAATGGTGTTCAAACCATGGGCACTTGCAACACATATGTAAAAAAAGTTTTGTGGAAGCAAACTAGAAATTGTTTTGAAATGTACTAAAAATTTTGGTTAGTCACGACCTTTTATCTAACAGGCCTGAGAGGGCATGGCCCTTTCCAATTGCTGAACAACATCCGTTTCACAAACTGCAAAGTGAGCTCGCACTGCCAAGCTGTCGTTTTTTATTTCCTGAACGTAAATGTGGGAGAGTGAATAGGACAATAGAAAAGTTCAAAAATATGTATTTATTTCCTCACAGAAACAGGTACATGAAAATAAAGTAGCCTCGTTGTGAATTCTTACAAAAGTAGGAATGGTGAGAAGCATTTATAGTAAAGCTTAAAGCACAACAAAAGGAAATATCAGAACCTTACTTGTTACTTGTTCCTTGTTAGATTAAATAACCAGTCAAACATTTCTTTTAATTTCTATTAATATTAAAGTTCTAAATTTAAATGTTATCCATTTAGTATTAAATAAAGTAATCAGTCAAACATTTTCATTAAACTAGATCAAGACTAGTAATTGTCCCCATAATCTAAAGAAAATAAAATTAGTAGAGCACAACAACTAAAACAAAGTATTCAGTCAAACGTTTCTCTGAACATTTTCATTAAACAAGATCAAGACTAGTAATTTTCCCCATAATCTAAAGAAATAAAATTAGTAGAGTGCACTAATTAAAACAAAGTATTCAGTCAAACGTTTCTCTCAAAGTAATCAAAATAAAGACGCCACAGAAAGTAGGTGGAGTTAAAAATAGAAAAAACACAAAGTTGAACAAAGTTAAAAATCTAGCTTGATTCTTTAAAACACAATAAACGGACTTAGTGGAACAAGACCGTATTACAATTAGAATAAAATTTGTTGAACAACTATAAAACATAGGTACATTTAGCCATGCATTTTTCAAACCATAAACTATCATCATTCATCATCATCCTCATCACCATCATCACCATTGTCACCCACATCATCAGCATCATCATCATCTTCCCCATCTTCATCTTCACTTCCTTCTTCATTGTCTTTTCTATTGTTGAGTTCTTCAATGACGTGAATAGGATCATCATCATCTATTCCATCTTCATCCACTTGCAAATCTCTTGGGTCATCATCCCCATCAACAGGTTCCACTGAATTTATAACATCGTTGTAAAATTGATGATATTTTGAAGGAATGGCAAGGGATGAGCATAGCTGTTTTAAGTGCTTTATTGTAAGCTGCTTGAGTGGTATCATCCCTGGATAAGCTAATGGTGGTTTGTAAGTCTTGCAATTCACAGGGTGGCCTCTCCTCTGGGCTGTATCCATAGTAAACGTCTCACCATCAAAGTCGTATTTTATCAAGAGGACACTGGGTTATCTTTTCGAGCCTGCACGACTCTGACTTTGGTCCAGTTGATTTTCCTCTTGTCTGTAGAATACATCCAGTTTTGCTTTGGAACTATCTCATGGAAATCAAAGACCAAATTCCTCTTCAGCAATTTCACCTTGTAGGGTGGATCTGTTTCCTTAGCTTTCTCGATTACTTTAATCCAGTCATCGAGACAGAAAATGTCACTTTCTCTTGAAACTGTCTCAATGCGACCATGAACTGAGTCGCCTTCATTCTGGGTGTGGCCACTTTCCAAATAGCAATGGTGTATGTTAATACCAAACTGCACAGCAGCAAGCAGGAACATTGCAAACACAAATCTGTTCTTGTTTTGGGCAAAACAATTGTCTGAAAAACTTCTTATCTCAGTCTTGCCAGATGCAGCGCATTGTGAAAAATAATCAAAAAGTGCACTAGCCATTTCATTTGCTCCTCTCTTAGCCATTCCGGAATGCCACAAATAACACAGAGCGTCATGTTCAACAGCATCAAACACAGTAAAACTAGGGGTACGCGCCGTTTAGTCTGGGCGCGTAGTGTGGCTGAGCGATGCGAATTGACATAGTTTGTGCACTTTGGACTTTGCTTGAGTAGACGAAATGTGCGATGATGGGATCATATTGAGTAAACTTTAGACCAGGGGCACAAATGGAAGTGATTTTCGTTATCAGAACACCAAAAACTGCTGGGATAAAAGTAAAACTCAATATCAAAATTTTGGTCCAAAATTGGTCAAAATTCTGTTAAAAGTGAGTCTGGGAAAAGTTTGGAGGTCATTTTTGAGTTCAGCACACCAAAATCTGCAGGAAACCACACTACAAGATCAAATGTGTGCTTAGTACACAGCTATGGGAGCGTACTTGCAAGCACACAGCTACAGGTGTATGCTTGGCAAGTACACATCTATAGGTGTATGCTTGGCCAAGCACACTTTAATCCCACCCATTTAAAGGCACACTCCTACAGCTGTGTGCTTGGCCAAGCATACATCTATAGATGTGTGCTTGGCTAAGCATACGTCTATAGATGTGTGCTTGTCCAAGCATACACCTATAGATGTGTACTTGCCAAGCATACACCTATAGATGTGTGCTTGCAAGTACGCTCCCACAGCTGTGTACTAAGCACACATTTTGATCTTGTAGTGCATATAAAACTCGACTTGAAAATTTTGGTCCAAAATGACCTAATTTGGGATGAAAATATAAGTCTGAAGTCGAAATGGGAGTGATTTTCGTTATCAGCTCACCAAAAAACTGCTGGGATCTACGTTAAATTCGATTTAAAAATTTTGGTCCAAAATTGGTCCAAATTCGGGTAAGTGTGAGTCTGAGAAAATTTTGAAAGTCATTTTTAAGTTCAGCACATCAAAAACTGCAGGAAACAATGTAAACCTTGACTAGAAATTTTTGGTCCAAAATGACCTAATATGGGATGAAATTATAGGTCTGGTGTTAAAAGTTTGGGTCAGGGGACAATTTAGATGTCAATATTGAGGTCAGCGCACTGAAAACTACAGCAAAACACACAAATCTCAAATTGGAAAGTTTGGCCCAAAATTGCGTAGCCCTAGATGAAAATGTAGGATTGGCATTGAAATAAATGTAGTTTTTGTGACTAGTACACTGAAAACTACATACAATACTTTAGACTCAATTTCTTTCTGTATGTTGTTCCTTTGTCTTCATGAAGCACCCTCTGTCGTCACCAATTCCCTGATGCCACACCAATGCGAATCTCTCAGTCGAGTAACATTCAATTGCCAGCATTGAATCGCTTAATTGGCTACTTGTATGCTTGGGTCACTATTCGATATATTTTTTAGCAGATGATACCTTTAGTACTTTAAAACGTACCTAGAACAATATAAAACACTTAAAGGTGTCAGCTAGCTTTTACTCGAGAGTCCAGAAACCAAGGCTGTATCCTAACAATAATGGGGGCTGGCTGCCGGGGCGGGCTGGTGAGTGAATGGGTGAAGCTCAGCCTGCGCGACGCATCGACAACTCCTCCTCCGGGTACAGCGCGAGCGGCACCGGCCAACAATGCCCTACCCCCTCTCGCACAGTCCCTCCCCGGTACAGCGCAAAGAGCAGCAACAATGCCTCACGGCTCGGCACGGCCCAGCGCGCTCGGGGCACGGCGCGGCGGTGCATGCCACAGCTCGGCTCGCACCAACACTGTCCAGCTCGCTTAGGTCTATGTATTTTATTGGGCTATCTATTTCACTTCATACACAATTATGAATAATCCCGAACTACTACCTAGAAGAAAACCAAACGAGTATCATCTGCTTTCATTAACGTTCGTTGAATGAGATTTTTTCCTAACTAATGAATTCACAATTTTATGAGTAATATTTAAGAAACATTTTGCCATTCTTTCATTGTGAACCAGTGAATAAAACAATATTGATTGGAACATGTTATCACAGTTAATGTTAAGAGAGTCGCAGTTTAGGGTAGGCTGATCTGAACCAGTTAACGGGGACCAATTATTGTCAAATCCAGTGATTCGTCACATAGAGTCCAATGCCAAGGCTACCCAAAACTTAATGAACCGACATAATTTCTCTTACTAATGTAAACAATACTGAGTAGTACCAGTTATATTAACTTCGGTGAAGTTAAAAGAATCGTCTCATTAAATTGAATCACTAATTCACTCACCGCTCAAAACCTGAGTCGTCTCTTTGAACCCAATATCAATTCAAACTCTATTAGGATTAAATATACACAAGCATACATTCATTCTATTAATAAACACATGTTAGTACTTTTGCACTCTTGTCAGCTTGCAG